GGAACACTCCATTTATGAAATTTAGATATTTAAAATGTTTTTTAAAACAATGTTTTTACTGTTGATCAATGTTTAATTGGTTTTTTTTTTAATAAATAGGCTTGTATAGTATTTTGATTTGTTATCACTGTATGGTTTTAATTGTTGCAAGACACCTTGGGTCCCCTATGGGAAGAAAAGTGGCACACAAATAAATACATAAATGCTGCTGAAACTACTGACATACATATCCCATTATTGTCCAATAGAATTGTTGTCAGGGCAGGAAATGTATAGACAGATGGATACATCGCGTCTATTAGGGCTGGGAGACTTTTGCTAACTCCTGCAGCTGTGATGAAGTACAGTTTGAGGAAACCCACCACATTCTTTATAAAACAACACATAAAACAAAATGCCACTTTTCTTCTTTGCAGGTCATGCAATTCTTTGGGGGGTCTCAGGGATGGGAAATGGACTCCTCGACCTTTGGAGCTTGCCTACCACTGGGCTAAGATACAGAGAGAGATCCAAACTGTATAATGGCAAAACCGCCTTCCACCATCCGTTTGCACAAACGTTGTATCTAAATCAGACTCCCCAATGAGTTTCTGATTGTGGACTGTGAGATCTCTTCCCCCTCCCCGCCCACCAGATCTGCACAGATTATTTTGTTTTATACATCTGTATGTTTATAATTTAAATGGGTGCAACTGTGATAACTAATTTGAATTTTAGTTAAGGCCTGTTTAATATGAAGTGCCCACTTCAGGCTGGCAAACAAATCACCAATGGACGACTACAGAATGCATGAATGATAATGTACAGACATGGCTTTTATTATTTATTCATAGAGAACAGTGGGTTTTGGTGTGCTGCTTTGAAAAATGTTCAAACTGGTAGAATATAATAAAAGCACTGTGAAAATTCTATTTCATTAACTTTTAATCATAAATCACTCTTTAAAATAAAACATAAAATAAAGGTCTGTCACAAGCACTTAAGCCTAGAGAAAGGAGAAGGACATCAGAAAAGGGAAGGGAAATATTGCCATGCAATTCATTTTTCTGCTACCTGTCACTTCCCTGTTAAAACGAGACAACACAAACAAGAGACCGCAATCTTTGGTCAGCCTCTCAATGAGAGAAAAAAAAAAGGCATTATGACTTAGGAACTAACAAAACTGTTCCTTTGATTTGTGGAAAAATATTTTGTCCTGTATTGGTAAAAAATTGTCCCAAAGCATCACTGTGGTTCTTGAACAGCTGCCTTTTTTATCACAGACACAGGGTAACCCATCTGTCATCGTTGTTTAGTCGTGTCCGACTTTTCGTGACCCCATGGACCAGAGCACGCCAGGCCCTTCTATCTTCCACTGCCTCCCAGAGTTGTGTCAAATTCATATTGGTTGCTTCGATGACAGTGTCCAACCATCTCATCCTCTGTCGTCCCCTTCTCCTCTTGCCTTCACACTTTCCTAACATCAAGGTCTTTTCCAAGGATTCTTCTCTTCTCATGAGATGGCCAAAGTATTGGAACCTCAGCTTCAGGATTTGTCCTTCCAGTGAGCACTCAGGGTTGATTTCCTTTAGAATGGATAGGTTTGTTCTCCTTGCAGTCCAGGGGACTCTCAAGATCCTCCTCCAGCACCACAGTTCCAAAGCATCAATTCTTCGGCGGTCAGTTTTCTTTATGGTCCAGCTCTCACTTCCATACGCCAACCCATCTGTACCTTGCACTGAAACAATATCAACCAACATCCAAGAAAAATCCATAGCAAAGCCTCTCTTTCGTGGCTCTTTCTGAGGGCGGTTCCCTTCTGAAATTTCTCTGGCAGTAAATTAAAACAAGAAAGATTCATATCCAAATGCACATCCACACCTTTATTCTTCTCCAGATACTCAGATTAACTAGAATAGCATCAGGCTAAAATCTTGCGCACCGTAAGAGACGACAGTGAAAAAAGGGCCTAAAACAGGTAGACAAAGAATGGCACCTGGTTGTCTAGGCAATATATTATTTATTTCTTAAAATGTTTATATCCTTTCCTATTTCCTAAGATCTGAAGGTGGGAGGCTCAACAGAACAAAAGGAATCAGAAGAAACCCCATAATCCACCAAGTCAGAGCGAAGATATGATCACTGGGCCCTCATGTTTGTATGAAGAGGCAAGTTTTAATTTGCCATGAAGATAGGATGGCAATTAGAGATGGCCATGAACCTTGGTTCAGAGGTTCATGCCGGTTCATACACGTGGCACCACAGGTCACACAAATTCCCTTCTCCCACCCAATGAGCCACTCACCAGTTGGAGCACATGCCTCTAGTCCTCCTTTTCCTGTTTGACCAGTCTCTAGCAGGAGCACAGGTTTCCTTCTCCTGCTTCCTTGGTCTGAGTGGGCAATCAGCCAAGGCGGCAGGGTAAGGAAGCCCGTGCTCCTGCCAGAGACTGGTTGAACAGCTGAAGTGGAGGAGATGAGTGCGCGCCAGCTGGCGAGTAGGGGATCTAGTCAGGGAAGCAGGGGAAGGGAATGTGTGGCGGAGTGGGGAGACTTGTCATCCTACTCCCTTGCTGAAGTGGCCGCCCGAGCAGGGAGGTGGGGCAGTGCCAGGCAGGATACTGCCGTGATTGGCGTGTTGTCAATGACACCGGTCACGCGTGTTGTGTTGTAAGTGGATTGTTGGGTTCTGGGGGTGAGCGTTAATCAGGCTAGCCACGTGTGCTAGGAGACGAAGACGAATCTCCCATGTCTACTCCCAATCTTTAGATATAGAAGAGGGCCTCCTCAGCAGAGGTCAATGTTCAAGCAAGAATACATAGGGGCAGGCACTCCTTTGACTGTTAAGGTCTGAAGCCATTTAAAGGTTTTGTATGTCATCATCACCAGCATTTTAATCAGGACTAGGAGTGCATTGGGAGGAAAGTACACCTCCTTTAAATATGGCTGTGTTCCCCCCCCTTCATCAAGAGTATAGGCAGTGGAAGGATTTTCTTTCCCTTTAGTAATGTAGCCAAATCTGTCATGTAAACAAATCTAAATGGTCACTCGGTGTTGTGGCCATCGTTCTTCCTGACAGGATTCCTGAACTGTAGATTTTATACAAGGAGGAAAAGGCATGAAAATGGTGATGAAGAGATGATACTAAAGCTGCAAATACACAGGAGAGAGGAAAAAGAGGGAAAAGTGTTTTTTAATCCCCATCTCATCTATGTTGGAAAAGTTTTAGAAGTAAATACCATGTTTTAAATATAGTGGCCAAAACCCTATTGCATTGCTCTGCCAGCACTGCAGGGATGACAGTAGTAGCACCAGCAGCAGCTAATTGAAGAGTCCCTGCTTCAATTTTAGGTCGAGTGTGAGTTTCATGAAACCCAAAATCATGCTCAGGACTCTTTAATTAGCAGCATTCTGCCTCTGCCAGTGATATACTGTAATTCCTAGTAGGCTAGTGGAGTTACACGGGATAGTGTTCACGGTAATAGCAGAATGTTTCTAACTTGGCCCCAAGGATAATGAGTCAGGAAATAGCAACTATGCTACCTGGGGGATTGTGGGATATGTAGTCCAAAAAGTAATACTGCAGGTTTAGACCTTGACCTGCAGCTTCTCTGATTAATCTTCCACATAGCTAAGGATATAATGAATGCTCACAAATTTTCACGCCCTTGCTGGAAAAGGTGTCTCAACACACTGAGTTCAAAAACACATTGATGGCTGCGGATTTGCTTTCGCTTGAAAGAAAAGATCAGCACTTTTCTGACCAGTATTACCAAAAAGGTATACTTTATGTTTATACAAACCACTTGAATTCTGTGCAAAAACTTGTACTTTGCACAGATGTGGGATTTTTGGTACAAAATACAGAGATATTTTCCTGCAAAACACCTGTGTTTTTCTTCACAAAAACCCTACATGCACATTTTTCACACACAAAAAAATCCCCAAATCCAAATCATGCAGAAATGTTCTTGTAATCACATGCGGTGAGGAGAAAACTCTTCTGTTCTTACTTGAAAGAATAAAATAAGAACAGATGTACATCCCTCTCCAACCTGCAAAAAGTGCTGTACAGAGGACTGAATGACCCTGGTGAATGACACAGGCTATGGAGCAAAGGAAGTGGGAGCGCCCCGAAAATCAAATAGCCTCCTCCTATAATTTTCAGGGGTCCTTAGCTTCCCTGTATTAAAGACCACTCCACCCAGCAGGACTGCCTGACTCTGCAGCATTTTTGAGTAGATGGCAGGCTACTGTGGGAAGCAGGAAGGTTTCCTTCAAGAGATCCGTTGGATATGCATAAATGTAGATACAGCTCACAGTGCTACATGACAGATAATATTTGAGAAAAACGGAACATATATTTTTAACGTGCTTCCTGTGAGAAAAGCCAACCTGTGGAGTCATGGGCAAGCCACACATCCCCAGGGTGCCCCCAGAAAAAGGGCATAGTAAACCATATTCTCTGCCTAGAAAATCATGAAGAAGGCCATCATGAGTCAGAATTGAATTGATGGCATGCTATTATCTTATTAGGCTTATTTAAACATCTGAAATATTTTCTGTATTCAAAGACCATGGAAGAGAAACCTTCAGACTAAACCCATATGTGTGTATTCACAGAGGCCATGAAAAAGAACCTTCTTTTGTTTGTTTTGGAAATCTGTTGTAATCAAGTCACATATACTTGTACATCTTTGGAAAATGTTCACTGATTATTCAATCTAAGGTTTCCTTTTTTTTGTCTGTAATACCAGTTTCTTCCCTCTCTTTTTGATATGTTAAAGGCATATATCTGGGGAGCTGGAGTGAAGGACAACTGCTCTGTTGCAACTAAAATCAGCATGGCTTTAAGAAGCATTCTGGTGCCACCTCTTCTTTACTAAACTCTCTATCCAAAGGGTCTTCCCTGGGAGATAAGACTCCTTTTTCAAGCCTGTCTTTCAAAGATTACAATATAAGAAATATGTATACACACACACACACACACACACACACATATATCTTTTTTAAAAAACGTACCTGTCCAATTATGAGTGGAACTACAACAGTCATGAACAGCTGTGAGAATATAGAGGAGAAAGGCACAGAGGATGAAGATCCAAGCTATAAAAGAGAATGTACAATGTCAACACAGGCACATAATCATGAGTGAGCTTCAACTTTTAGAGATAATAGGGCAGAATTCAATTGTTAGTCCCAACTACCCACAGATCTTTTGAATTAAATAGATTTACAGGTGTTGACTTAATGAATTCCATTCATTTGGTGGGTCTACTCTAGTTGGAGACTAATGATTTAGCCCACTGAACCTAAAGCAGTTGGGACATATACATATATAACTGCATCAAATAAAAGACACAAGGCAATTCTAGGCATAAATGATTATATTCCCTAGTTTTACAGGCTCTATATATTGATCAAATAAGGATATTCTTCAAAGGTAATACAAGCAACATACATAACAGTAGTTAATAATGCAATCAACATACACAGCCATTGTTAATTAACCATTCCCAAAGATGAAATGCTCTATACAGTTTCACTGCAAAGAACTAGTGACTTGTCACTGACTATGGCAGGGCCACATAAATCAACTGGTGATAACTACTGCTGGGTCAGGACCACTGTATGTCTTTCCAAAAAAATTTAATGAATGCATCTCTTATTTGTCCTGCTCTGTACAGTTGCAATACATTAGACATGCAATTTTTCAGTGCTGGAATTAGCATCAAAGTGCTCCTAAAGTGTGGAGGGGAGGCTGAAGGGGTCAGAATTTTGTTCCTCAGAACTGTCACCTCCCCTCAAAACAAAACTGAATGAGATGGAAGTTCCACCTCTGTTTTTAATTTAAAAGATTGAGAGGGTATACATTAAGATGTGTGTGTGAGAGAGGTGTAATTTTGGAGGCTTCCAAGAGCAGTAGCTTTCGTTTGCTGAAAAAAAAATTAGATGAGGATAGCCAAGAGGCAGGAACTGCACAAATGCAAGAGGCAGCAAGCAACTTTTGCTTGCTCCTGTTCTAAAGCATATCAAGGTGGGGAAGAATTGCTGACATCAGATTCACACCATTCCCTCTTGACCCTTCATACTTCCAAGCTGCTCCTCTTCCAACTATGTCTGGTCAGCTGGGAAACCCAGACATTTAATGTTACTACAGGGGTGCTAGCTAGGGCAGTTTTGAGAAGGACTTGGGAACTGATTTTTCTCTTAATTTTCTCTTTTTAGCAAGACTAGACTCCATTATTCACTAAATCCCACACCATGGACCACTGAGTGAGCATGCTTCTTAAAGAGGATTACATTGATAATTTATTGAAATGGGTTCTTACTATTCACATAGCCCCCCAATTACATTCTACTAAATGGTACAGTGGACCCTTGACTTACAGACGGCTTGACTTACAGACTTTTTGACTTGAGAACCACCTTCCAATACGGATTAAGTTCTCAAGTCAAGACCCCACTGTACTGGGAAAGATAGATAAATCTTTAAGGTCTGTTTGACGAAGGCAAATTTCATAGCACAATGCTGAGAAGATGAGATTATGATGAGTGTCTCCTGAAACTCGTTGGCCAAACTAAATTCCTCTGAAAAAAATGTATTCGTAGCTTTAACACGAGGGTTGCATCAGTGGAGTCAAGATGAAACACTTCATATGAGTTGATTCAAATTGCAATCCCTCATTTACTATGCTATGCTCCTTAAGGCACAGTTGACGTATTTTGGCCAGATTGTATCCTCCCTAATCACGTAGAATCGTATGGAGTCTACAATAGGTCATCTCTATGAACTCAGGTGAATACAGAATTCATTAACTTTTTTTAAACATCACACCAATGTTGATACAACTTCACTGGCTACCATTCCATTTTCAAGCACCATTACAAATGCAATTGTTTATTTTTAAAACCCTACAGGGCTTGAGGCCTGGATACCCGAGAGACCATGCTTTCACACATAAACCTGTTTGCCCACATACTGAAATCAGTCAGAGACCCTTCTTCTGCTACTCCCACATTCTGAAAGTAGGCAAATAGCAAATAAGGAAAAGTTAGGTGGTGACAACCCATAACAGAGCCCTGTCTTGGGAATGCTTGGAAATGATCATCCTGCAACTACTGTAATGTTTTTTTAGTCACTGTCATTTTATTTTCCCATGCCTTTTAAAAACAATCATCAGACAAATTTGGTTTTATTCCCGTTTTGCAAAGACTGAGTGATTTTAATACCTGCTGTTTCAATCATGTTGTTTTTGTAATTTGTTTTTAGTGTTTTAAATAGTTTTCTAATGATTCAGCTTTTTAAAACTACATAGCGACGAAATTGCTTTGCTGTGACTTTTGCTGCACCGATTATCGTCGCTATGCGAGGCACCACTGTATAATGTTTTTGAACTCTTTTTCAGGGCAGTGGAGTTATGTGACCATAACTAATTACTTTTTAAAAATAACTTGTCAGTGTCTGTATTTTGATGTTCACTTTATGGAACTTCTCTTGGGAAACCAGTATGCTTTCCTCTCTATAGTGCTTCGGATAGGAAGTTAAAATATTTGTGTTCTCAAAGGGTTGCCACATTGTGCTAAGTATAACAGGCTGCACTAATTGCTCTAATTATGTGTGATTGTCAAAAGACTCATATATTACCTTGAGCCCCTTTAAAATAGAAAATGGAGCTAGCAAATTTAATAAACTTCACACTTTGCTAACATCTTGACCCTTAATGAATTTATCTTCTGATCCACCTGACTGCTTGCATTAAAGAAATAGTCTATTTTACTTTCAGAGCCGATGGGGGAAAATATACTTTTGTAAGTAGAAGGAAAGTAATATATACTACAACATATACACCATGAACAATGAAACCAACAACTGCTTAGTAAGCTTTTACTTTAAATGCAGTTGTACTGAGATACAGAAAAATGGAAAGGACAGCTAAAATAATTGTAATTTCTGTACATTTAAGAAGTTTACCACAATACTCAAAACAGGCAAAATGGCAAAACACCGCTGAATAGTTACCAAATGTACAACACTACAACTCATCTTTCATTCTCCACCTTGCCATCTTTCCGCTTCATCTCACACAATCGTATGCTTTAAAAAGTGCAGCTAAATATTCATTCTAAGAATACAGCAAAATCTTTCTGTCAAAATAACTGATATAAATTAAAGACATTAAAGATAAGTGACTGAATATCAATAACATGAAGAAATCAGCCAAGGAAGCATTAAATGTCAGCTCAGGTACTACCACTGTGACCTGTGCACTACAGAGAACAGAAAATTGCAAGCAACACACAGCACACACATGGAGGTTTGTGGTTTTTGAAGAAAAATGCAGTAGTTTTGGAAAGAGTATAATATGACCATTTCAACTGATTTCTTCTTGTCCTCTTGCCTATCAACTGTGTTTAACTATGTTTTTTAACCAATTTAAATTCACTAAAACTAGTATGAAAGCTTACTGGATTAAGCTATCTTATGAAATGGACCAAAAACCATTGCAACTTGGCACTCATAGACTGAATATTAAAAGTTCTCTTCCATCTCATACAAGCACCCAAACTGTTGGAGAACAACGTACACTGGTATGAATAAACATTTTTCTTCTTCTTCTGCAGTATCACTAGGTTGCTTTAGAGGGATTTTGGGGGGTAGAATGCTGATTCCAGCCAACAGTCGAACTGTTCTACCAAAATGGGAACTTTGGGACACATGTGGTTGTCATGTAATCTGTGTAACCATTCAAGTTATAACTTGGTGATTAAAGAGTAAGCATGATTCAAGGATATAGTGACTGAGAGAGGGGGAGGAAGAGAGAAAGGGGAGCAAAAAAAAAGAAGTTTGGTGAGAATTCTGATACCCAAAATCAGTTTTTATTTCACCAGTTTTATTGTGGCACAACAGTCCTTTAAGAACAGGCTAAAGCTCATATGATAAACTCAAGACTCAGCATGAAGCCAGCAAGGAAAGGGAGGAGATATACAGTAAAAGCCTTCCCCTATTTTGCCCTTCCCTGTTTTACTTTTTCTACTGAGATTCTAGTTTGTCTTTTGTGACTCACATATTACTGTATTTTTCTGTGTATAAAACAACACTTTTCCCTAAAATAGAGGAAATTAGAGTGTCATTTTATACATGGAAGGAAGCGGTTGTGCGCTCAGGCGCCCCTTGCTGCCACCACCGCTGCTGTCCAATTGCCTCTTCCAGAGTGCACAAAACAACACTTTTTCCTAAAATAGAGGAAATTAGAGTGTTATTTTATACATGGAAGGAAGCGGTTGCGCGCTCAGGTGCCCCTTGCTGCCACCACCGTTGCTGTCCAATTGCCTCCGGTGGCCCCGAGGCAGCAGCAGGAGGAGGACGAGATGGAGATGGAGGCGAAGGAGCAGTCACATGCGCTTGGGCGCCTCTTGCTGCTGCCTCTCCCGCAAGTCCAATCATAATTTCCAGTGGGATTGATGGCGCCTCTTGCTGCTGCCTCCCCCACCCGTCCGATCATCATCTCCAGTGGGACTGACGGGCTCAGTTCACGTTGGCGTCTTGTCCCCTTTGGTGGCAGAGGCAGAAGGAGGCGGAGGCAAACGATCACCTCCTGCAACTGGCAGAGGCAGAAGGAGGCGGAGGCAAACGATCACCTCCTGCAGTGATTTTCTCCTTAGGGCAGGGGGCAAGGCAGTGAGGTGAGCTGGAGGTGAGCCCCAGCACTTGCACTGGAGAAGGTGATCCGAGGCGGAGGCAAACGATCACCTCCTGCAGTGATTTTCTCCTTAGGGCAGGGGGCAAGGCAGTGAGGTGAGCTGGAGGTGAGCCCCAGCAGTTGCACTGGAGAAGGTGATCCAGCAGGCAGCGGAGACAGCAGCAGCAGGAGGAGACGGAAGTGGAGGAGCAGTTGCCCATTAACTGCTCCTCCACCTCCATCAAGGGTCAAAATTAGGGGCCGTTTTATACATTGGGGGGTTGCGTACAAGGAAAAATATGGTACTCTGTTTTAATTTATCACCTTTGGATCATTTATAAATATTGTTTGTTCTTCCTGTTTTGTCTCTGTGCTCTTTATCTGAAGCTATATGTGACCAAGAAGCAGAAAGCTAGGCCTCAG